TCGTTCCCACCACGCTCATTTCAACGCCACGAGGCTGTATGTAGTCGAGATCGTCGCAGACGACGCCTCTGTTCTCCCGGGAGCCGTCATTGATGAATTCAGTGTGCGAGGAAACGATTATCGTAGCCGATAGCTTCATTTCGTCGTACGAGAGACACGACGCCAGGATCTGCATTACACGAAATAAATAAATAGCGATGCTCGTTGGCCGTGCGTACGCGTACGGAGAATACGCTAAAACAGTGGCGCGATTGTTTCGTTAATGGAAACTCCGTTATAATAAATCACACGGCTCTCGTGCGCGCGAGTATTATGGATTTTCCCATAAAGCGGCGAATTTATCTCTCGCCGCGTAATCAGCGTCAAAGGACGAACTTACGCGATATTGCTGCGCATGGGCCTTGGCATTTAGCTAAAAGCTAACGTCACCGTAGCTTACCGAGTATCGGACGACAATCTTGTAAGGCACCGACTTTCTCCCCCCCCCCCCATCCCCCATCCCCCACCCCCGCCCCCTCTCTCTTTTAAATAGCGCGTCGTTGGCTTAAAAAGTCTCGTACGTGCTTACAATGTCGTTAATTGTACAAAGCGTTTGCAAATGCGACGATTAAGGCCATTGAAATTAAAGGCTTTGCGCCATCAAGGGCCGATGGACCGATCAATCCAAGTACGTTTCGTCATCGTCGAATAATCAAGATAAATTATTATGGCCAAATGAAATGCAAGGAGACACAGGTCGGGAAAAAGTTTGCGAGTTAAAGGCGCGAATGTGGGCAATAGACGCGAATAGGCCCGCGCAGCCGAGCCTAACGAATAATGCCAAAATTGTCGGATCCTCGAGAACGTAAGGATCATGCCAGGATAAATCTCTCACCAACGGCTCCTTCTCCATCTCGGTGCCCACGTCCTCCCAGCCCCCGTTGCCCGAGCTGCCGTCGACGAGGCAGTAGCGATCGTCCGAGCCGTAGAACTGCAAGGCCCTCTTCTCGAGTAGTCGCTGAATGAGCTGCACCAGGCCCATGTCCCGGTAGAGCGATCTCTCGATCGCGCTCCCGTACTGGCGCTTGTATTTCAGCCAGCCTGCGATCAGGGGCAGTGTCGCCTCGTGAATGAGGGGATAGGCCGAGTTAGCGTTGAACTGTGGATCGTAAGCGAGTTTGAGGCTGTGGTGTTGTCCTTGCATTAGTTTCTTTAACTTTGTTTGATTTTTATTTTGCTTATTGTTTTTGTTCGTTTGCCAGCGCCCGGCCTGACTGTTGCATTTGATTGACGTACGGATAATAGGAGGGGCCGCTCCGGCTTTAAATCAGCCCCGACGATGCCACTTTGCGACGTTTTACGGCACGTTACGGCCTGATTAAAATAGGTAAATATACGTCCACGGACCATTAAATTAAGCACGACATATTCGTAAAAGTTGCATCTCTCTTCTTATGTTGGACGCTCGGTACGTAGCAAGATGATTAGATACAATCGCACATGCGGAGTGGAAAGAATTTTAAAGCGCCTGGCGTAGCCTCGGCTGGCTGGTCGAATTATGTGTAATCGTAAATTTACTTTATTCCCGTATTACTCGTTTCGCTTTGAGCGCGTCCCGTTAATTAAAATTTTGCTGTGCTTTCGCACGTGTATAAAGAGGTTGCTCGGGCCTTCCTTTCCCAACGAAGATTAAACGAAAATCCAAAACAAAAACAAAAATATATTATAAAGATAAACGATAAGAGTGAACGTGAAAAAGAGGTGGGGAACGTGGGGGTGGGGTGGGGTGGGGTGGGGCGAAGGAAATTCATCAAAACCGCTGGCGCACGGCCGATTATCTTTGCTTATGGGGAGAAAAGACTCTATCTCTACTTCTTTCATTTACGCTCTTTTTTCTTCGTTTTTACCTTTTATGTTTTTGTTTTTATTTTTTTGATTTTTTATGTTGTTTTTTTTTTTTTTTTTTTTTGTTGAATAATCGAGCTTCAGCCGATGGGATGTGATTTGTGAGAAGCTATTTCGACGTAACGTAGCACGTCTTATTAGGGGAAAGGAAAGGGAAGCGATTGCCGTAAGTACAGGAGAAAGAAAGCTGTAAGTACAAAGTCGAGGGGTTGGAGGGCGCAAAGAAGGTAGATAAAAGATAAAAGCCATAATCGGACATCGATCGGCTATTTCGATCAGCGCCTGATTTCGCCGGCGTTCGGTGGTGGGTGGTTAGCGGGGGGAGGCAAATCCGCGTACCTCGAGCGCGTCCATGCCAAGGCCACGGTCCCTGAAGGCGCAGGAGCGCACGGCGTTGACGGGGAAGGGCACAGGGAAGCCCTCGCTGCGCTTGATGATCTCGGTGAGCGTAGTCGGGAAGGGCTGCTTCGCCTCGAGACACTCGTGCAGCAGCTCCTTCGTCGCCTCGTCGAATGGGACACCGTTTGGCGAGCCCAGGCTGTTCTCCCACGAAATCTCCGGGGGTTCGTGCAGCGCGTGCTGATCGTCATCCGTCGTGTGTCTGTTTCGCTGGAATATATAAAGTTACGGCCCGCTACAGCTGGAGGTGTCACGGACACATAATAAGTTCGAAGGGGGAGGGGAGGACATAATGTACCGCGAGCAATGGCTTCTCGCGCCTGCTATTCACGATTACGCGCTCGAGTTGGCGAATAATTGTCACGATGAACGATAAGTTTGGCAGGCGTAATTGTCTTTTACAGCGAGGAAGGACGGCATTTGTGATTCGTAAGAGGAGGCATATCGCGACAATTTATGTATGGCGATGTCGGAAAGTTGTCGCGAACTTGCGTTTGTGATAATTGTGGGGCATGAGTGAGCATGAGTGCCGCTTTATTAATGGCACGCAATTAAATGTATATTCGTGAATTCCGAAAGAAAGTGCAGCTTAAGCATTTGTTTAATTAAGACTTGAAAGGATTTTGCAAATATTTCGAACGATCGAGTAAATTCTTCGATTTACTATGAATTCATTCTCTTGAAACGATCGGCTTCAAGTTTATGCCATGCTCAACTCGACACACAAAAGAAATATGAATCTGCCAGAGTGTTGTGGCCTTTTAAAAGAATATTCATTGGCTTGAAACAAATGAATTTACTCAGTTTATATAACGGGGATTGTTTATGTAGCTAGAATTCAAATCACTAATAGAAATCGATGCCTCGAATTTGTTAAACATTTTCAACGGTGACGTTTATCTTAATAATGTACATTTGATCGAATGCCG